TGAGAAGAGCACAAAGCACAGAGAAGCACATATTACGCAAATAAAGTTAGGTAATTTGCATACCTGGGAAAAGGGAGAAACCTCTCCTCCTTCCATCTCCATGCTCAATTTTCCTCTAATTTCTGACATTATATGTCCACAAATATTCATATTTCCTCCTTTGGGTAAGAGATGCTGTGAAATGTCACATGTGAATTAAAGTTTGTCATAAAAATCACTCATAAAACAGCCTCCCCAGCACTGGCGTTGGAAGGTGGAGCAGGGGATTTCTGCCCTGTGTCTGCCTTCAAACCACCTGCAGGTCCTCCTGCCTCCTGCTTCTAGGAGCTTTGCTTCCTGTTTTCTAAAGAAGTAACAGAGACATTCAACTCCTCTTATCATCCTTGCTTCTGTTAGAGCTCATCACATTTTTAATAAGTTAGTTCCACAAATGACCAGTTTCTCAGTTTCTCACAGTCTAAATTCCAGATTGCTTCACTGGTGTAATTTTAAGTTCTTCTCTTTCTGGGATGGCTCAAATAGAGAGTCGCACATGAAAGCAAAGAAACAAATAAAATGGCTTCTCCTAGATCTCCCATGAGGAGATTCTAGGATAATAGAGGTGGTTACCTGGGTAGGATGCACACAAGGCTGGCTGTGTAGTAGACTAGAATGTAAAAGTCAGGAGCCAATTACCTTGTGGCTACTGTTTCTCTTCCTCTGCAAACCTGTTTTATTGTAGCAGATTCATAAGGGCTCCACAGCAGTCTAGCATGTTGGCCATGAACCTCCCATGAAGAAAACTCATTGAGGTTCCTTTGGGAAGAGGTGAAAAAAAATATCAAGGTTTGCTACAAACACACCAAACAGGGCCGGGGCTGGAAGGCAGCTGGTTCCTTATAGCTGGTTGAACTCCTTCAGGATTTGTACACACACACACACACACACACACACACACACACACAGCATCCCCCCAAAGGGGAACATAACAAATATGCTCATGTTTACAGACCTACCAAGATAATCATATCCCACTCTTTGGTGCATATTTCCACTCAAATTCAAACACATTATGTCCATATAGTAGACACACACATATGACTTTCAATGAGGTGCTTTATCAACCTATGCACCCAGCCACACCCCCATTCCAAGCTCCTGACTGCAGAGCAGGGCACAGTGAGAGTGAAGGAGACAGTTGCTGAGTATGAGCTGCATGTGTCACTAAGTGTGTCTCTGATTATAGCCACGAAACACATAGAAATTGTTTTTCATTATTCACCATATGATATTATCCGGTGCCCTTCAGTTACCTGTATGTCATCAAGTTTCAATCACTATCTATTCCTTACTGACTGGCTATTCCTTGAAGAGTATAGCTCAGGGGTTAGAGGCATCAACTTTGCTCAATCTTGGTACAAATCTGAGCTTCACTACTTACTTTACACAAATGACTTAACCTCTCTGAGCCTTACTTTCAACTTTTGTAAATTAAGCATAAAAATACTTATCTCAGACACCTGGGTGGCTCAGTGGTTGAGCGTCTGCCTTTGGCTCAGGTCATGATCCTGGGATCCTGGGATCAAGTCCTGCATTGGGCTCCCTGCAGGGAGCCTGCTTCTCCCTCTGCCTATGTCTCTGCCTCTCTCTATAGCTCATGAATAAATAAATAAAAATCTTTAAAAAGTACTCATCTCATACAACTTTTGTCCTAAATAAGTGATTATGTAAAGTGTTTGAACAAAGTATAGGGTATAGTACTCAGCAAATCGTAGCTATTACTATCTAGCATCTATGTTTCTCTCACTTCATCTTTACATGTGAAAAGGCTTCAGCTGGAGGTTTGGTTTTCAAAGTGTGGTCCCTGGACCAGCAGTATCAGCATCTCCTTATATCATGTGAGAAGTAGAAGTTCTGGGCCCCACCCAGACCTACTGAGTTCCAAACCCTGGAGAGAGGGGCAATCTATTTTCACAAGCCCTTCAGGTGAGGTGACAACTGCTGAAGTTTGAGCATCACTGAGCAGAGTACTATTCCTGGCCTCCCTCAATCCCCCTCTCTCAATGTGACATTGATTACTGAGTTGAAGAGACAACAGTAAACATGCCCAGCTCAGCCCCTTGCAATTTTTTTGTTGGTTTTCTTTTTGTATCCAGAACCACCCTGACCACAAAGACACATGCATTCCAACCTACTTACATAGGAGAAAATCTAACAAAAGGCTCTTTCCTGTGGTGGAGAGTCATGGGGTGCTCAGCACTACTTGTGATGAGGAGTAAGTCTGTCTAATTTAGCGATGTGGAATTAGCAAACCAATTAGTCTGCAGATCTACAGTTAATGGTTTAATCATGTCTTTATATCTTGATTATCAACTGGTTTCAAACATAGGAGGGGGACGTGGGGTGTTATTTATTGTACCTCTATGGCTCTAACAATAGATTGTAGTGAGAAGTGGGCAGGACACAGGTACAGATCATGGGCAGTAGAGAGACCTAGTTGAGAGAATAGGACAGAAGAACCAGAGGTAATTCGAGCATTTGTTAACTACACAGAACTTTACAAATGATCGGTTGTGACCTCTCCTGTTACAGATAAATAAGCAGAGCATGAAAGGCATTGAGGGGCTTGCCCAAGGTTACATTGCTGGTTAGTGGTAGAAACCAGACCAGTACCCAGGACATCTGGCTCTCAGTTGTACACTTTCTGAGCAGGTGGATCAAAGCAGACCTCAGCAGAGAAACTAAGTTCAAGATGTTGCCAATTAGAAGAACCAGCCCCAGGGATTTTCAGTATGGGCAGTGGGTTCAAAGCCAAAGTGCTCTGTGCTCAGAAAGGAAAGCTCTACTCCAATCCACCTGTGCATGCTCTGTTGCCCTGTCACACAGCAATGGCTCAGGCTACACAGCCTGCCCAGTGTGCTCTGAAACCTTCATTTTCCTGTGCTTTTCCTAGTCTTGTTCTCTCTGCCTACAGTCTCTCCCTGCTGCCTACATGTGTCAAAATCCTATCTTTCCCTAGAGAGAGCCAACTCCAATGCCATTCCTCTACAAAGTCTTCTCTGATTTCACTATTCAACCCTCAACCCTGTGTGAGCCACAAATGTACATCCTCTACTTTGAATTTCCAAGAGGCTTTATTTGTATATTACTTATGACAACACTTTCTACTTGGTGTTACAGCTATGCTTTACCCATTGGATTAGAATATATAAGCTCTTTAAGGATGGGCACCATATTTCATCTTTCTCTCTCTCTTCTTGACTTTTTCTAGTTTCTTTCATTTTTTTAATGAGTCATAATTAACATACAGTGTTGTTATATTACTCTCAAGTATACAACATAATGATTCAATAATTCCACACGTATCTCAATGCCCATCAAGAAAGTGTATTCTTAATTCCCTTTTTCTAAATACCCATCCCTCTACCCAATTCTCCTTTGGCAGCACCTCTTTTTCTCTGTATTTTGGAAGGAGGGTTGTGTTTGTCTCTTTTTTCCTTTTTTTTTTCGTTTGTTTTATTTCTTAAATTCCATATAAGAGTAAAAGCATATGGGATTTATTTTTTTCAGACTGACATGTTTCAAATAGCATTAAAGCCACCCAGTCCATCCATGTTGTTATAAATGACAAGATTCCATTGTTCCTTATTACTAATAGTTCATTGTATATACATAAACCACATTTTCTTTATCTATTCATCTACTGATGGACACTTGTGTTGCTTCCATATCCTGGCTATTGTAAATAATGCTGCAATGAACATGGGGTACATATTTTTTTTTTCAAATTGATGTAACTAAAAAGCTATGCATAATAAAGGAAACCATCAACAAAACAAAAAGGCAACTTACTGGGAGAAGTTATTTGCATATTCTATATCAATAAGGGGTTAATACCCAAAACACATAAAGAACTTATACAACTCAGGGATGCTTGGGAGGCTCAGTGGTTGAGCATCTGCCTTTGGTTCAGGGTGTGATCCTGGGTCCTGGGATTGAGTCCCACATTAGGCTCCCTATAGGGAACCTGCTTTTCCCTCTGCCTATCTCTGCCTCTCTCTTTGTGTCTCTCACGAATAAGTAAATAAAATCTTTTAAAAAAAGAACTTACACAACTCAATACACACACACACACACACATAACAGAAAACCCCAAATAATCCAATTAAAAAATGGGCAGGGGACCTGAATAGACATTTTTCCACAGAAGACATACAGATGCCCAATAGGCTAACAAAAAGATGCTCAGCATCATAATCATCAGGGAAATACAAATTGAAACTATAATCAGATATCACTTTATACCTGTCAGGTTAGCTAAAATAAAAAAAGACTAGAAAAACAAGTTTTGTCAAAGATGTGGGGGAAAAAAGAACCTTTGTGCATTGTTAGTGGGTATGTAAATTGATATAGCCACTATGGAAAATAGTATGGATGTTCCTCAAAAACTTTAAAAAAGAGCTACCATATGACCCAGCAATTCTGAATTCTGCTACTGGATATTTTCTTAACTAATTTCTACAGCCAACACAGGGCTCAAGCTCATCACCCTGAGAAGGAGAGTTGCATGCTTTACTGACAGAGCTAGCCAGGAACCCCTCTACTAGTGGATATTTGACTAGAGAAAAGGAAAACGATTTTTCAAATTTCTTTTAATAATTTTTATTTTTTTCATTTTTTATTGAAGTTCGATTTGCCAACACATTGTATAAGATCCAGTGCTCATTTTTTTTAAAGCTGGTGAGCAGCTATAGACACAATTGAAAAGTAGACTGAAAAAAAAAAAAACCAAAAAAAAGGAGAAAGAGCAAACACTCAGGCTTCACTCCACAATAAATATGGAGCTCTATTGGTGTTCCTACCTCAACATTCCATAGGGACTTAGCTTTTCATGTGCTCAAGAGTATTCCACATTATTGTGCAGGGGATCACACTGCATTCATGTATAATTATGTCAGACCAAATATGTACTGGCACTGCTGAGTTCAAGATCTACAGTCTTGGCCCTAAGTGAAGTGGGGTTAAGGAGTCAGGCTGTGCTGGATCCCATAGCTGAAGTAGATAGCAAACCCAATCAGCATCCAGACACCAAATAGAGACCAGGTGCCAGCTATCATCTGCATCATAAGGTAAACATTCAGAAAGATGCTCAGGAGTGGGAGGAGAGGCAGAGCAGGTACCTGAAAGTGAAGGGGAGGGGGGCTCTGTGGCTGTCTCCAGATTATTCCGGTGATCCCAATGATAAGTACCAGGAGCAGCACAACCACTGTGATCCACACTGGGTCTCCAGAAAGCAGACTTGGCCACCGGGCCAGCACCAGACAGAGAAGAGTCAGCAGGAGAGCAAGCAGTGAGGAGCACACAGAGGCAATATGGCCAGAGAGTGGAGTGGGGGTGGAAATGCCTGGAAAAAATAGTGTATGTAGAGTCAGCTTCTCTGCTGCAGGTCTGTTCTCCTCCTGCACCTGTGCTTCATTTCCCCCATTCTTCTTCTCAGGCTGATATCTGAGGATGAGAACAGAAAAAGCCACCAGGGAGTAAGCTAGCAGGGCCCCAACTGACCTGAGGTTCACAAGATCAGTGAGTCTAAAACATAGCATGATTGCTGCAATAATGCCAAAGATCACATTGGCTATGATGGGGGCATATGTGCCAGTACGGATCCTGGCAAGGACAGGGTACAGGAGGCCATCGTTTGCCATCATGTATATCACCCGGTGGATGAAGTACATAATACCCCAGAAGATGATAGAAATACTACAGATAAATGCAATAGTTACAGCATAGTAGGCAGGGGCCCAGCCAATATGGAGAAATACCTCAGGCAAGGTGCTCCCGGGTCGGAGCTTATAGTAAGGCACCATAAGCGTAAGTGCCACAGAGACACCAAAATACAACAAAAAGCAAATGAGCAGTGAAATCACAATGCCCATGGGGATGGAACGCTTGGGATTCTGTGTCTCTTTGACTCTGGTAACAATAATGCTGAAACCTATAAGTAAATAGAAGCATGTAGCTGATCCATGGAGAATCCCCTCGAAGCCAAATGGCATGAATCCTCCAGAGCCCAGAAGGCCCAAGCTAGAGGTATCATTGAGTCCAGCCGTTATGTGGTCCTCTTCTGTGAGCTTCCAGTTGTGCAGGTCCCCCTTTATGAAGCCAGAGATGATGACAAAACTGAGAACCAAAACTTTCACCAAAGTGAACACTTTGAAAACTATGAAGAATGGACGAATCTTCATATTGTTAAATTCTATGAGCAAAAATACAAGGATCACAGCCAAGAAGCCTACATTATCTGCAAAGACCTGAGGAACATGCTGTGAGATGCTCTTATGCAGGGTTTGAGAGATCCAGCTCCTATACAGGTTGTCAAAAATTAAGGTCCAGGTCTGGATAACAATGACTGCATCAGCAACAAGGGAGAGGATGAGGTTCCAGCCAGTGAGGAAAGCCCAGACTTCTCCTATAGCAATATAGGTGTAGAGATATGCAGAGCCAGAGTGGGGAACCCGGGCACCAAACTCTGCATAGCAGAGCCCGGCCAACACAGAAGTTACACCAGCCACCAAAAAGCAGATCACAGTGGCTGGTCCTGCTTTATCTCTAGCGACATCGCCAGCCAGGATATATATACCTGCACCCACTGTGCGGCCGACACCCAGGGCCACTAAATCCAGAGTGCTCATACATTTGCCAAATTGGAACTCATATATTTCTTGATCCAGTGGACGTTTGTGTACCAGTTTTCGACCAAATCTGCAAAGTGCCTCATACAGCATTCCAGCTGGAATTAAAGAAAATTCTAGAATTAGAGAGTTGTAGCAACTCCAGGAAGCCAAGAGTTTTAGATCTGGTTTGGTGAGGCTGAATTAAACTGAGTTCCTTTGGGGTTTGCTGAGGTTTGTTGCTCAGGATTCAGAGCTGCTGCTTCATATTTCTTCTGCTATTTGCTGTTCCTCCAACATACCTAAGTAAACAAGAAATATTTACTGCACAATGGTGTTCAAACAACCAACCAAAGCCCAGATATCCCATGTCACCTGTTGCAGCACAAATATCACAGAAACTGACACCAAAAGACATCATAGAAAAATCAACTGGCTTTTCCTCCAGAAAAAAAGGGCCAAATACAACATTCTCCTTTTTTACATACCACATGGCATAATCCCACTTGGGTTCATCTAACTCATGTAGCATCATGTACTAATTAAACTGAAAGACACAGCAGGGCATGAATGTATTGTGCAATAATTCACATGTGGGGTACATGCATGGTGCTTGAGCATGAGTTATGACACATTAACTCATGGACCAGTAGGCTTCTTTACAATTACAGACCTATTTAAAAAATATTATCTGAGATTATAATATACATATTGGCTCCCTCAATCTTAAACTCTTAGCCCCTACATCAGCTAGCCAAGGTCAGATGGCACTTTGGCCCCCTTTTCTCCTCATTCTGCATTATCCATCCAATTGTACTGATGGCCAAGAATGTACAGTCCATTCCTTTCCTTTACCCACCTAGGCCCACAGGGGTGCTGTGAACAGAGAGGAGGAGGGAGAAATTGGCAGGACCTTCATAACTACCAGCAAGAAGGAGAGGACAAGGCTCCCTGGGAAGGAAACCCTGGAGAAATGGGGGCAGCAGCTGACCCAGGGTCCAGGGCTGAGAATGGAGAGGAGCCAGGAAGGTGTTTTGTGAATTCTGACATTTAATCCACCTCACCCAAAACAACCAGGCAAAATTCACCAGTTTTCATATCCACAGTTATGGCAGTGTGATGGGTAGGGAGAAAAGAAATAAGTGAACTAGCTCAGTAGCTCAGTAGCTCACAACCTTCTGTGTCCTTTGTCTTTGGGCTCCAGGAGAGAGATGAGCTCATTTCTGCACTCTCCTCACTGGCCACACTGTGCTCTCTACACATCCTGCATCATCTGTGATGTCAGCTGCCAGGAGCCTGGAGAATCTGCCCTGCTCTGTGAACTTATATTAAAACACTCACCTGTAGTGTGCCTGGATGGCTCAGTAGAGTAAATATCTCACTCTTGATTTTGCCTCAGGTCATAATCTCAGGGCCTTGAGATTCAGCCCTGGGTCTGGCTCTGAGCTCCGTGGGGAGTCTGCTTGAGATTCTGTCTCTCCCTCTGCCTCTTATGCCCCCACAGTTGCTCTCTTTCTCAAGTTAATAAATAAATATTTTAAAATGCCACTCACTTGTGACTCCCAATTAATTTTTTTCAAGAAGTTATTTTTAACTCTCTCAAATCATGGTCCAATATTTTTCTTAATGGAGGAATCTTGCCTGGGGTTCCTCCTTCTTCCTACCTCTACTGCTATTCAAATGGACCCCTACTGAGGGAGAGCATGCCTTTGGTTAAACAATTCACAGCAATACCCCAGAAATGAGTATTAATCAACAGAAAAAAAAACCAAAGTTATGCAGCACCTAGATTATGTGAAAAATGAAATGTCTTCTCTATAGATGATTAAAAGGAACCTTTGGGTTATATGCCAGACCTTCTGTCTACAAATTCATCTAGACTCCTTATTTGCCACTCACCAGTTCCAATGTTATAGCTTACTAACAAGCACCCAAGATATATAAGGAGGGTCACGGAATCTTTCTACACTATAAATTGTGACTGAGGTGTGCCCCCCACACCCCCAGGCTTCAAACCCTTCCATGGTTCCCACTACACTTCCTTAATATACTTCCTTCCTTCATAATCTGACCTATACTGATACTTTCAGCTTCATTCCCTGCCCAGTTCCTTCCCCAGCTGTGAAATTCCACACTCATCCTGTTCCCTTCCCTCTAATGGCCTCTTGGTCCCTTCACTTAGCTAATCCCCACTTCTCTTTCCATTCCCAGATCAGAAGGTGCTTCCCCAGGAAGCCTCCCTGACCCTTATGCTGTCCTTCCTATGTGCTGTCACAGCAGCCAGGCTTCCCTCATGTGCCATTGATCCTAATGTATCCAAATTCCAGGTCAGCTGCCTGTGTCCTCCATCAGACTATGAGGCAGATGCTCAATAAATATTTGCTGAACAAATGACCACACTGAGAAGACAGACCTGAAAGAACACATAATACAGAATTCCTATCTAATTAACTTTGAGATACATACTTTTAGGCAGGCAACCTTTATAAACCTGGATCAGGTAAAGATATAAATGGTATTACCTTCTTTGCAGAAGGCAAGCAAAATGAAAAATGTGGAGGGAAAAAACTTAGCTTCCCATTATTCATAGCAGGTATGAGCCACACAAGGTGATAAAGGATTGTTTGCCTTGGAGTAAACTTGTTTTAAAATTATATTAGGCTGCCTGGAGTTAATAGGCAACAACCCACCCACGACCAGTTAGAGAATTCCTACTTTTTTTGAAGGCATCATGCTCAGGACCTGTAATCTATATGGGATGTCCTAAGGCAGAGGTTCTCACTTTGGAGGACAGAGGGAGGCCTAATGAAGACACCTGGGGAATATTTTCAAACTTCACATCTTCTCCTTCTGGAGATTCTTGTCCACTAGCCCTGTACTTCCCATGACTGTTCTAAACCATCCCAACTGACAAGACATTGTCTTCAAGTTCTAGGGAAAGAAATTCTGAAAGCTTCCTTCAAAAGAAGGCGGCACAGCTGAGTAGTTAGGAGTGAGGCTCTGCAGGGAGATTGTTCAGGTTCAAATCACAACTCAACACTGGGTGTTATTCTGTATGTTGGCAAATTGAACACCAATAAAAAATAAATTTATTATTAAAAAAAATCACAACTCAACCTCACACCCAGTGCCTCTGGACAAATTAGTTCCTTTCTGGGATTTAGTTTCCTCAACAGCCAAGTGAGAGTAAAAGCAAATCCTTCCCATTGTAGCTGTGAGGAGTAAGTGAAATGACGCCTAGAAAGTATATAGCTCAGAACCTAGCAAACAGTATGGACTTAATATCATCTACCTAATATTTAATCCTGAAATCTGATCCAAAGTCCATTAAAAATGACTTCGTCTTTACAAATGACAAGCCTTGAAATCATCCCCTGCAACTCAAGCCTGCTACCTAGCCCTCATGATACAATGAAAATAGTTTTATTCCACATAATTCACCTTTAAACTCTAGGGGCTCTAACTAGACACTCTCATACATGATGGTGCTAAAACTTTGGGGTCCTATGCTCACTGAGTTATATGGGCCATCAAGAAATGCAAGGCTCAGATATAATAATAATAATAATAATAATAATAATAATAACAATAACAATAATATCTTTCTGTGGGAATGCCTCATCTTATTTCTGGAAGAGGCAGTGCTGGGTACTGTGGCGGTAAGAGCAAAGACCATTATGTCAGAAATGCTGGATATGAGCCATGGTGCTTCTGAGTGACCACATGAATTTGGGTAATTTGCTCACTCTCTAAACCTCAGTCTTCTTGTCCACAAGGGACCTCACCTGATCTCCATCACTGGATCAGCATGAGAATTCAGTGAGAAGATCCAAACCATCATGTACCACTGGTGGAGTGTCACAGGGATCATCACCCTGAAGCTCAATTCCAGTAGAATTAAGAATGCACACAGCTGGGCAGCCCGGGTGGCTCAGAGGTTTAGCGCTGCCTTCAGCCCAGAGCCTGATCCTGGAGACCCGGGATCGAGTCCCACATTGGGTTCCCTGTATGGAGCCTGCTTCTCCCTCTGCCTGTGTCTCTGCCTCTCTCTCTCTCATAAATAAATAAATAAATAAATAAATAAATAAAATATTTTTTTAAAAAAGAATACACACAGCCTCACATCCCAAAATCTCTCTCCAATGTGCACATTCCCAGGAAGCTGTCTCCTGTGTTCATAAGGAGTCCATGTGAGCACATTCATCACAGGACTGTTTGTGGTGGCAGGAAGTGGGGGCTGTGCCAGTGTCTGTTCCTAGAGGAATATATAAGTAAACTGTGTGTGTGTGCACAGTGAAATATAACACAGCAGTCAGAGATAATAAAGTAGATTTATAGACAACAAGTTGGGTAGCTCTCAGAAACAATGTTATATCAAAAGAAAAAGCAGGATGATGTGTCAGCACAATGGTACTTATATACCTTTTAAAAAACAGCCAAAAACTATTGTATATTTGTCAAGGATACACATATATATATTAAAAATATCAGACATTCCTCTGCTCACAAACTTCTACTGGTTTCCCTTTTCATTTAGACTAAAACCAAAGTCTTCATTTACACTGACCTACAGAGTCCTAAAGCATTTGTCATTGAACCAGCTACCTCTCACCTTCTGTTTCTATCCCTTCTCACCCATTTCTCTCTAGCAACTGGCCTCCTAAACATTCTGGCCTTCTGACATATCAGGCCAGACCCTCAGGGCCTTTGTACAGGCTATCCCCTATGACTGCACCACTTCTAGCCCACATATCCACCTGGTTGCTCCCTTCGCTGCATTTGGTGAAACAGCACATTTGTAACACAGCCTTCCTGATTCATCCCATATACAACTGCAACTTACTCCTAACCACAGACTTGAATGCCCTGCTTTTCTTTCTCCCATAGCACTTGTCACTATTTAATGTACTTCATGTTTCAGTTATTTATTTGGTTATGGTTTGTCTTACTCCATAAGAATGTAAGACCCATGAAAGCGGGACTTTTTAAATTGTTTTGCTCCTGGCTGTACTTCTGCACCTACATCTGTGCCTGAGAGAGTCGGCACTGTATTTGTTGAGTGGATGAATGTATCTAAAAACACATGTAGAGCATGAACTTGAAGAGCATTTGTT